GTTGGAAAAGAGTCATAAAATAATGATAATTATTATTATACTGTGTTTTCTCACAATAGCCTTGAGTTGCCATAAAAGTGATGTTTTTGATAATAAATGAATGCATTTCCTAACAATTTGTATTTAGCTATTTATTTCTAGCCATTTGCTTATGTCTGACGTCTTGGAAATGTTTGATTATAACTCAAAACAACATAGACTGACAAAAGTCTGCCAAAAATATGCTAACTATTCATCAAATTATATAAATTCTATTCAATACTTGTCTCAAAACAAACCCTTAGAACACAGCTAATGAACTCATTATCGAAACTTTTGAATCATTAATTCAATTGTTAATTCACTTTACATATTATCACTCATATAGACATAGAAAGCTCCAAATAAACTTTAATTATGATCAGTAATACGTGTAGTTTTACTGTATGTAATGATTAATTTTGTGAATATTATAAGGAATTCTTCAGAATTATTGAATAAATGAATGAATGATTGGAAATTGCTTTAAAATTTAAAATGTATAAATTCAATTCCAACACCATTTGGTATGTACCAGTGTACACCGGTAATACAGCACTATTTGAATAAAAAGTTTGTATTAAATACAGTACTATAACACTACAGTATTGCTATAATTAACATGTGATTCATTGATAATCATTCAATTAGATATTCAATGTTTCACAATGCCGGTAATTATGTACATTATCATACAATACTGTATCCTCAAACTGGTACAGTAGTCCATGTGATCATTTCATATATGGATTGACCATCAAATGTAATGCAATAATTTGATTGTAAAGAAATAAATTTATTTAATTCTTCAAATACTGTATAAATATAATGAAAATATTAAAAAATTTAATACAAATAATATAAGGAATGTCTCTAATTTAGAAATTTACTTTAAGGCACTTGAAAAACAACTGTATTTTAAATTTTGTTTCGTTTGATGATAATATCATGTTAATGTTATAAATTTAATTCTATAAGTTATGAATCAATTGTTAAAATTCAGATCTATTCAAATGTATTTATACTGAAGTTATATAAATTAATATTTTAAAACTTTAAAAATTTAGTGTATTGTAAATATACAGTATTATTAATTTCACTTAAATGGTTGATTCTATGAGTGCTCTTCAATCATACACTTCAGTACATTTAACACAAAATAAAACAAAAAATTAAATAACATTTACTAAATTGGTTATCATCCTGGTGAACCAAACAATTGATTCTAAGTGTTGGACGGAATGTTGATCTTATACTGTACTCACGTATTGATTGCATTGTATAATAAGTTTGAAATATGTGAATACAACTAATACTTATACTTTGGGACCAATGGTTGTAATGAAAGGCTAACATTAATTGCATTTTTGGTTACAATTAAGAAAGTATTCAAAAAAAAAATATTTTGGTATATATTAGCAAATCAAACGCAATCTTCGAGAGACATGAGGAGAGGGTTGACGTATTCAAAGCCTTCAAACTCACTCTGGTCAATCTTCTCGATCGTTTTCCTATATGAGACACCAATTTAATACATACATCAATACACTATGAAATAGTTTGTGACAGTCAGGTAACATACGGGTCATCTGGAGTCAGTTGTACTGGCTCATTCGTGAATTGGGGGTCAAAGTGCTCCAAATCCCTGTCCGTCTCCAGTTTGGGCTTATAGGGAGGCGGCACCTGTTTGGCCTCCAACTGTCAATCAAATAATTAGTGAGTTATAGAACTGTAGCAAACATTATAAGAATTTCAATACCGATTCCCAATCAATGGTTTTAAAGAAGGGATGGTTTGTAATGTCAGTGAAACCAGTCTCGGGATGACATCCGAGTCGTTCGACTGGGTTTTTGTTGAGAAACCCTTTGAGAACTGATTGAGCCTTCACTGAAATGGATCGCGGAATACGTATTGTCTTCTCCAGAATCACTTGGAATAAGTAATCCTCAGTGTTTTGGTCCGCATTATCGGAGGCGCCCACTATGTCGAAGGGGGAGCGCCCGGCAAGCATTTCATAGAGCAGAACACCCAGAGCCCACCAGTCCGGCTCAAAGCCTAATCACAATAATGTCATAATATTAAACAATTGAGTTTTGTTTCATTTAATATATTCTACAAACCATAGTCCTCTCCCCTCAGAATTTCAGGTGCAATATAATTAGGAGTTCCACAGAAAGTGCTGGTCGTGTCACCCAAACGAATCCCTTCCTTTAATATCATTAAAATTGTTGGTTAATACTGTATATTACAGAGTATTGCAGTGATGGACACTTACTTTACACATGCCATAGTCAGTGAGTTTGACGTGTCCCTCGTGGTCCAGAAGCACCTGTAGGTGATATTGTATTACAATTACCGTAAATGAATGGCAATACAATGAAATACAGGCAATACATACGTTATCGAGCTTTAGATCCCTATAAATGATTCCTCTTTCGTGGAGAAAGTTGAGAGCGAGAGAGATCTCAGCGGAGTAGAAGCGGGCGTGTTCTTCAGGCAGTCGGCGCTGTCTCTGCATATGAAACATCAGATCTCCGCCGCGAACGAACTCAATCACAAAGAATAGTCTGAAAGCAATCCATCAATCGTTATAATCACTGAAAGATGTAATCGTGTTTCAAATACAGACCGACTGGCAGTTTGGAAACAAGAGTGAAGTCCCACAAGGAATGGATAATTAGAAGCCGTTTCGAAGACATGCTTCTCTGTCTGAACCCAATCGATGTCCTCATCGTCGGTCACTAATTCTTTTTTGATGACTTTCATGGCGTAAATCCTTTTAGTGTTCTTGAGCTCAACCATCAAAACTTTGGCATAAGAGCCGCGACCGATGACTCGAAGTAATTCGAAATCTTTAAGTGAATACTGATGGGATTCACTACCACTTAGAATATCATTGTTTGCGTCCACGTCTTGACCCGAACGCAGGTCTGAATTGTCGTTTTCTTGGACAACAGCCGGCAATAAATGGTTACCCGAAATAAAATTATGTTTCTTTCGGGCCGGAGTTCCCGTTCGGACTAAACTGTTACTAATTATAGTTACGTCTCCGTTGGCATCACGAGAATTATTTCCCGGAGTAGAGGGCGTGCTTTCAGAGGACTGCAGGTCAGTCTGACCCGCGCAGTGATGTTTGAATAGTTTATGGCATTTCTTATGAACCATTAGTTTACAATTCATACATTTAAACCCCTGTCGTCCTAAACCCCATATTCGGTCCGAACAATAGGCACAAAACGCTCGCTGTTTAGAAATAAATTAATTGTTCAGTGAATAGAAATTATACAACAAATAAATTTCCGGTATACCGTACATACCGGTGTTTATACTTTTACATTCACGGCAGTAGATAAAAACAGCAAAAAA